TTGTAGTAGCGGATGGAGTCTTTACCCAGGAAGTCGAACTCCACCACACACTCGCTGCCGTCCAGTTGCTCGTGGAGGGTGATGTGCTCGACGCGTAGCGAGCAGCAGCCCACTGTGTCTGCCGTCTCTCCCTCCTCCTTCTCATTACCAGCTCTCAGTGCCAGCTTTTTTTGGGGTCACAAGACACAGATAAATACCCGTCAAAATCTCTACATACCCCCCCAGCACTTTCACCACCACCCCTCCCGTTCACACTGTCAATCAGATGACTATTAAATATATACACATACACACTCAACGTGAAGAAGAAATAAACACAACAAAGCCGAATCAGAATTTAAATAGTCTTTGGCATGAGCCAAAAGCAATCACACACTCGATCTATCATTCCACTCAATGCAGAATAAGATAATTAGCTTAGGGTCACTGGAAGAAAATGGCTACACTTTTTTTTCCTAGCAAAAGATCTTCCATTCAGCTATGTGAGAAAAGGCAATCAAGACGCATTACATTGATTTCCAATATGTTCAAATGGCTCTTGGTATCAGACCTAATCACAAAGGGGAATCTCTGAAAGTGACAGCAGTACATAGCACTGGTGTGTAAACTGGGTATCTCAATTGCTGCATTTTTACTTCAGAGGTTTTCCTTGACCAACAGCTCCAAACCAGACCTTGTCTATGAAGTAGAGAGCCACAGCTCTTTGCCGCGTGCCCATCTGTTTCGATTTGAGATCCTGGTGGTACTGGTTACGGATATCGTCCACGCACGACTTCAGTTTCCGAGCAACCTCGTATTTCTCCCAGTCCTTCTCTCCCTGCATTAATAGGACAAAAAGTAGGAAAGAAGGATGAAGAGGGGTGTAGACAAAGAGAAAAACAACAATGAGCAGGATGGGAAAAGGTGAGGAAAGGGAGACAGTGAGAAGGAAGGATAATGATAAGGGAACAGCAGAGAGAGGTCACAACTTGAAACAAAGAACTGAAGCAACAAAATGGCAGCATTAAGTCATTTTCCTTGTCAAAAGCCTCAAATCAAAGACATTATTCAACATGCTAATAGTGATGTGACTATAAAGACACACAACTACACAACTTTAATAACTAAATTATCTTTGCCTGCTGTTTGCTGCGGGTTTTATATTGCAGCCAAGAGACAATTAAACCCGCCATCAGTGAAACACACACACACACACACACACACACAGGCGCGAACAGTGGAATAACTTAACCTTTACATAAGAAAGATAGAGGAGGAAGAGGAAGAGTGAGCAAATGGAAGAGTGCGGGAAAGAAATGAGAGAAGGGGGAAAGAATAATGAGACATCGCGCAGGTGTCTATTTCAACACACACTGTAACTAAAAGAAGTTGCCATTTAGTCTCGCAAACAAAACCAATATGGAATTTTAATGCTAAACAAAAAGCATTAAAATACTTGCATGCAAATTTCCTACACAAGCAGTTTTGCCTTTATTGAACACAACAAGGATGCATGCTAGGATTTTTTATAAATTGCTGTGGAAATGTTTACACCATGTAAGTGTTTTTTGTTATTTCATTTTGGGAAATCTCAAAGACATAGTAATGACAAATGCTGACCAAATGCCTTGAATGGCCTTAAAATAGTACAAGAATTTAGCATTGCATGCTCGTAACAATGACTCATAATGGACACACATTCTGGGGCCTAAATTACTCACAATTCAAGGTGACCGCCAACAGTCCGGTCCAAGATTCAGGCTAAGTTATGCTACAGTAGCAGGTAGCGTAGCCTCTTTTCATTTTCAAACTTGTAGTCTTCGGCACCAGCTGACACTGACTCACTAAAGTGACTGTCCAAAGAGGCCAGCCAGATGCAATTAATTTCACTGAGCTCTCCCTCTGAAGGAGGCTGCACGCACATGTGCAGTAGTGCTCCTAAGACCTGTAAACAGACTTTGGTGTGTAAAATCGGTGGAGTTCCCCTTTAAATCTTCTGTTGACAGTAGCATTTGACACACCACTAACTCTACAGCCAAAGCCATCTGATGGCTCATATGTGTGCTGCCTTCCTAATCTAGAAAACATCACTAAACATAAACTGAAAAACTAGACTACCCTTTTCACAACATTGGGAACCTCATTTTATATGTTAGGAACACAATATATATTTTAAAAAAAGGAAACAGGGACTGTGAAATTTAGATTTGTTTTTCCTTATCGGTGGTGTTGTCAGCCCATGGTGTTTTGCTTGCTTATGGAGTAAGACATGAAAAGGCAAAGGTTAAAAAAGAAAAGCTTAATAGCTTGTTTAAAAAACACCCTAAATTTTGGATGCTGTATTGTAAATACAACCCCATTTTCCAAGGCAGGTTTTGATTGATGAAGGTGTATTTTTCACCCTTTCAGTCAGTGACTGGTTCCCATTCATGTCAGTGTTTGAAATGAAATCTACTTAAAGACTTGTAAAACCTGAGACGCATAATCCATTGCGGTAAAAAACATGACCTCTGTCATTCTTGTCAAAACATTTCTTTTTTAAATGGCAAGCGGTTAAATGCCGAGGTGCTATGGCAACACTTGACTGGTGGTGCATTTAGGTGCTTAGGTAGATGTATTTATTAACTGAAAACCCAATGTAAAAACCAAAGGTGTTGAATCAAATATCAAACCATATACCGTGCCTGCCTGTCCCTGAACTACAACAATACAACTGGTTAAAGTAACTAGTTAATTAATCTAGGAGTGTTTTTTGTCCTGTACCTTGAGTTTTGAGTTGGCATTGAGCATGATGTATTTAATGGAGCCTTGGATGTTCTCAGTCCAGCTGGCCAGCCATGTCACAGTGTTGTCATGTCGGACCTCCTTCCAGTGGTGACCAGCAGGTGGCACAGGGATACAGGCTTCTCTGTCAATGAAAGAGGGGGGAAAGAAAAAATGTGTGTGTAAGCAGTCACAGCACTGGAGTACAAGCTACAGACTCCTACAGAGGCTCAAGATTCTCAAGATTACCTAAAGAAAACACATTCATTTGGTTCAAAATCCAAACACTGCACCATCTGTAGCAGTTTTTATTATCAATGCCTGTGCAGCTGTTTGTTACACACTAGGAAACATGGTGATGTAAAGTACTTTTTTTAAAAAGATTGAAATGATTTAAAGCTTTTCAACACTTGCACTGAGGTGCGTGTTTGCACCCAGTTAGGTCACACCAAGAAGAGTGACAACTGGGATTTTAGCAGCTAGGGTGATGTTTTTCGTCAGACCACCCGTTACTTATGCATCACTACAAGGCCACACATGCAGTGTCTGTATGCAGTTTGATCCCTCTGCCCCACTCTCACTTGCTGCAGTTGATGATGACGTCCTCTGGTTGGATCCTTTTCTTCAGCATGCCCTGTTTGGGATGCTCGCCTCTACCACGGAACAGTCCTGGAGGCTCAATCTTGAAGTTGCCAATACGCTCTTTGTGGTGGTCCAGCAGACAGAAGCCATACTCATCCACTATCTTCTGGTTGGCTTCTTTCACAGCCTACAACAGAAATACACACTATAATTATTATCCAGAGGCTAAATGATCCACACTGGCACTAACAAGAAAAGGGGCACTGGAAGTTATAAAAACAACAGAAGAAAAAAGCCAGAACCGTACCAGTTTCTCCTCCTTGGTCATGTTTTTCCTGGCCTCCACCTTGGCTTTATGCATAGCATGGATCTCTCCAAAGTCACACTTGTCAAGATTTGTAATCAGTGACCTTTCTTCATGGGTCATTTCCTAAACAAACACACAATTCAAGTATGATCCCCTTTTGAGTCTGGTAGTCTGAAGTTACACCTGCATAAAAAACTGGGAGTCAGTTAGAAAATGAATCAACAATTTTGATAATCAATAAATCTTTTCAGTCATTATTAATCACGTAAAAATGGTAAATGCTTCTGGGAAACAGTGACATTTTATACACAAGACAATTAATCATTCATCGATCCATTTTCCACTGCTTATCCTGGGCTACACTTACAATTAATCAAATATATATAAAAAAAATAATCAGATTAATTTATAATGAAAATAATCGTTAGTTGCCGTCCAAGTATCCTGTAATGCCAGAATAACTGCATCAATGATGACAATATTATACAGCATTTTATCCACAGCTCAACAGTTCATAAAGTATGAAAAGCTCCAGCCAGAGCTGGGAAATACTGATGAAACCAAATGCATTTTTAACTCAGAACCTCAACACCGGTCACAGAAAGTATGCATATCCAAACACTGTGGCATGTCAAGTCAAGTCAATTTTATTT